GACTTCTTCCTCTTGCTGGACAGTAAATAGAGGCAACTGTCCTTGCTGCTTGGGATCATGGATACGTGTGGCAGGCAGGAGAGCTCCCCTACAGGCCTACCCAGACTCCAGATGTGGCTTGGTTCTGTTACTGAAAGTGTGGCTTGGCTGCTCTCCACTCTAAAGCCAATAAAGAGGCAAGGTTGGTGGCAAAGAAAGTTTGCTTTCTTTAGGAGACTGGCAGTCCTTGGGGTGAAGACAGACTCCTATCCACAGGCTGACTCCTCTGCACTGACAATCAGTTGGCAAGAGTTTTTATAGGTGAAAGGAGGAGCTACATGCAGAAACAGCACAGTCAGCTCTGACAGTCGTCTTAAAATTTGTCGTCTTGATTAAGTACACTTAATCTTCAGTTCCAGGGTAGGCTTGTTCCCATTTCTCTGAGGCCAGCGCTTGGAACTGTGGCAGCTTATGCCATGGCTACAACCTGGTCATCATGTAGTTAACTTCTTTAACCATGAACATTTTAGTATCTATAAAACAGCTCAAAGGATAATGCTCAGAATAACATCTTAGCTCTTGAAGAGAAACTGAAGAAACTAAATTATGCTTAATGAGTAAACTATTATCATCTAGTCTCACTGGATTCTTTTCCTTTGTTTCTGCATTTTCTTACTTCTCTGATTAAACTTACTTTTTGGTTAAAGTTTTTCCACAGACAAAAGACAGGCTGAGGACATGGGGATGGGGCAAAGACCATAAGGTCCCGCTCCACTTCAATTCCAAAGACTTAATCCTCAAAGACAACTTGGTCACACTTGCCACAATGGTGTGTGTGTGTATTAGTTGTTCAGTCGTATCCGACTCTTTTTTTTTTTTGTATCCGACTCTTTGTGACACCATGGACTATAGCCCTCCAGACTCCTCTGTCCATGGAATTCTCCAGGCAGAAATACTGGAATGGGTAGCCATTCCCTTCCCCAAGGGATCTTCCTGACCCAGGGATCAAACCCAGGTCTCCTGCATTGCAGGCAGATTTTTTACTCTCTGAGCCACCAGGGACGCCATGCCACAATGGTAAGCAGACCCGAAGCAGTGATCAAAATGTACCTTCAGAGATCTGACTCCACCTGGCAGTGGAAAACAAAAGAATATGGGGCAGGGGGACTCCCTGGTGGTCCAGTGGTTAACAATCCACCGAGCTATGCAGGGGGTTCGGGTTCAATCCCTGGTTGGGGAACAGAAATCTCAAGTGCCTTGGGGCAACTAGGACCACTCGCTTCAACTACTGAGTCCGTGTGCCCCAATAAGAGCTCCCACATGATGCAAGGAAGATCTCAGGTGCTGCAACTAAGACTCAATGCAGTCAAATAAAATAATTAATTTTTTAAAAAAATAATATGGAGCAGTGTAGAGATAAGCAGTAGTTATGGTCATGTGACCAGTTGCAGAAAGTTCAGTAGCTCAGTCAAGTCCGACTCTTTGCTACCCCATGGACTGCAGTGCGCCAGGCTTCCCTGTCTATCATCAACTCCCAGAACTTGCTCAAACTCATGTCCATCGAGTCAGTGATGCCATCCAACCATCTCATCCTCTGTCGTACCCTTCTCCTCCTGCCTTCAATATTTCCCAGCATCAGGATCTTTTCCAGTGAGTCAGTTCTTCGCATCAGGTGATCAAAGTGTTGGAGCTTCAGCATCAGTCCTGCCAATGAATATTCAGGACTAATTTCCTTTTGGATTGACTGGTTTGATCTCCTTGCAGTCCAAGTTGCAGAAAAGAGAACTATAATAATTTCATCCTCCTTCTGACACAAATATATTTGTTGTTGCTGTTCAGTTGCTCAGTCGTGTTCGACTCTTTGCGACCCCATGGACTGCAGAATGCCAGGCTTCCCTGTCCTTTACAAATATATTTGTGCACATATTAACCAATTTTTTTCTCTTCTCCCTCTCCCTCACTATCTACCATAATATGTGTTAATAGTGGTTATCCTTCTAGGTCAACATTGAAGTTACAGAATATATAAGAGGATGTGGCTCCATTGGAAGAGGAATGGATATCACCCAGAGATGGATAAAGGGACTTTGTCACCTTCTGGTCAGAGGGTAACATGTATTTGGTTGTGTGTTGGTGGTTGCATTATGTCAGGCAGTGTTTGCTATTAACTTTACTTGGAATTGAAGTTAGATGGACTGGGGTGGATTTGTAGTGATCAGTGTATATTGTGCAAGGTTGAACCTAGGGTCCCATAGTCCTTTCTCTGCACAGTTCTGAGCTGGTGTGGAACACGGGGGACATTCTGCCTGGGTTTTGGGGGAAACAGAAGTGAAGCTGCAGCAATCATGTTCTTTTTGCACCTGGAAGGGAGAAACGGTGATTAAAGTGGTGTCCTAGTGATGTTCGCTTCCATCCTGTGATCAGATTTAACATCATCTGATCATCATCAGTGATGCGAACAATCAAAATGGTGCCAACTGGTGGGATGCTGTAAGGATGCTTAGTCACCGTGGTGCTCATGAGAGAGATACACAGCCTGCATGATTACAAAGAAAAACTGGGCAAAGCCAAATTGAGGGACTTTCTAATAATAACTGATCTATATTCTTCAAGAGTATCAAGGTCATAAAGATCAAGGAAGGACTAAGGAGTGTTCCAGAGTGAGGGAAACTAGAGACAGGACCTCCAAAGACAATATGTGACCCTGGACTGGACACTTTGGCCATAAAGAACTGGAGTGGGGAGTCTCAGCTATGCCAGACAAGCAGGTTGTAGAGACCTGTAGCTCACAGTTAGTACTAACCAATGGGACTCTGTGTGAGGGGGGTGTCCTCACCACAAACACAAAACCAATGTGCAGGGACTTCCTTGGTGGTCCAATGGTTAAGACTTTGTCTTCCAACACAGGGGGGTGTGAGTTCAATCCCTGGTCAGGGAGCTATAATCCCACATGCCTCGGAAGCACCCCCAAAACCCCAAAACATAGAGCAGGAGCAATATTGTAATTAATTCCATAAAGACTTTAAAAAATGGCCCCCATCAAAAAATAATCTTGAAAAAACAACAATGGGCACGCGGAAACTTGGGGGTGATGGATATGTTCATGACCTTGGCTTGAACAGAGATCTCCCGCACTGTAGGTGGAAAGCTTTACAGCCTGAGCTACCAGGGAAGTCTCTGTGACCTTGATTGTGATGATGGTTTTCAGGTGTTTTGTACAAACTCATTAAACTGTATACATTAAATTCTATCCTCTTGTATATATCAGTTAAACCTTTATAAAGCTTTATGTTCTCTAGAAACATAAAGAACATCATTGGGACAACTTATGAAAGCTGAATGAGGGCTGAGGACACGTGGTAGGGGCACATGGTGTTATTCTCCTGACTCTGATGGTTATGTTGTATATTTGTTGTGTTGGTGTGTGTTATGTTGGGGTTTTGTTGTATTTATTGTGTGTTTTTGTGGTTGTATAGGACAATGTCTTGTTCAAAGGAAACAGACGCTAAGCTATCTGGGGGTGATGGAATGCTAGTTTTGAAAATTTCTCTCAAATGGTTTAGGGAAAAAAGTTCCTGCTATCCTTGCAACTGAATTGTTTCAAAATAAATATTATCTTTAGTGTTTGAAAATGTGTCTGGAGAAAAAAAAAAAGAAAATGTGCCCGGAGTGCAGTGATGGCCTTGGTTGAGTGGGGCAAGTGCTGCTGGGGTTTTGTTTGGGGTGGGGATTGATGGAGGTAGGGAGACTTTTTAAGCTATGGGCATTAAAGAGAACACTCCCCATAAGGACCTCTGTGAGTAGATCAGGCAGTGTTGGGGGGGGAAGTAGGGCTGGAGTATGCCACAACCAGTGGATGTTTCTTTTCATCAGGCCACTTGGAGGTTAGCTCCCAGGGCTCAGGAATGGGCTGGGAGCAGGTGTGCTCTATCCTGTGGTCTGGTCCCGTGAAGAAACCTCCTGGTCACACTGTATATGAGGACTCAGCTCTCTGTTGCTCAGGGCATCCCCTGTTGTGTATCCTGGGCCAGCTCACTCATGCACAGAATTGATCGTCAGTTTTCCACTTCCACAGTCTGCATCCTAAGTCTCTTTTAAGAATGTTTCTCTAGCTTTGCACAGTAGCAATACCATAGCCAATGAGGTTTATCCAATGCGTGATTATTGCTAATTTGAAAAAGAAAAAAAAAGAATGGCCTGGGAATTTCCTGGTGGTCCAGGGGTTAGGACTTTCACTGCCAGGGCCCAGATTCAGTGCCTGGTCTGGGAATGAACATTCTGCAAGCAAGGCAAAAAAAAAAAAAAAGAATGAGTGTCTGACAAGTGTGAGGGAAGAAAGCCAGGTTGGATGTGTTACCCGAGTCCCTGGCAGGGTAGGGACCGCCTTCCTTTTAGTCACTGATAAATTCACAGGATCAAAAGAGCAAGCCCATCTGGGCCTCCAGGAGTCAGGGAGATCTCAGAGAGGTGGGATGGGTTTTCTGGAAGGAGCCCTGAATGAGAGTGAGGTGTAGGTGGCCGGGGCCCACAGGCATATCCGAGACGTGAGAGTCCGAGACTGGTAAGGGGCAGGTGAAGAAGATTCCCGAGGCCAAAGTGGCCACCAGACTGGGGCATGGTGTGATCCAGGTCAGCAGGTGCAGGGGGCCAGCCTGAAATATAGTGTTTCTTGGCCGTCACCCCAGCACACCAGACTCAGCGCTCGCAGGGACCGGTTCTAGGCCATCTGCTTCCAGCCAGCCAGGAAGGGACATGTTCCGCACCCTAAGGTGTATTTCTAATTTGTTTTCCAAACCCAGGTTGGAGCTTCTGACTGGCCCCTTTGGAATGTGGGTAAGGGGGTGACCCCTTCCAGTAAGGCAGGTTTCTGTAAATGGGAAACAGAAGCTGTGTTGATGCCTGGCCCCACCCAGTGTCCCAGCATCCCCTTCTCCACCCCAAACCTCCCAGCCTGCCCCAGCCCCGGCCTATAAAATCCCCACACCCTCATTTCCAGTTGACCAGTGGCTTGGAACGGCACCATGAAGCTGAATTTCAGTGGCCTTCGGGCCCTGGTGACAGGAGCAGGAAAAGGTAGGTGTGAGCCGGGCAGGTGGGGGTGTGAGAGGAACTGAGGTTAGAGAGCAAAGTGCGCAGACCCAGAGCCTCTTGTTGGGGCCTGCACGTTCCCTTTGTGCTTGTCACAGCCTGCCCTGCCAGCAAGTGCCCCCCACTCCAGCCACCGAACCAGCCAAAGTGGGCCTGCACTGCTCCCTACCATCCAGCAGGCCCCACTGGGACAGGACACTGGCCTCTCCCTGGTCAATGCAAGAGCCTGAGATGACGGCCCTCAGACTCAGTCTGGGCAGATGGGGACGCATCTAGCTGCCGGGGTCCAGCCTCGGCAGGATCCAGGGGATACCCTCAGGATGAACGGCATCGGCGAGAGAGAGAGAGAGAGAGGAGACACGTGAGACCAGCCTTGATAGGGCCAAGTCTGCGAGGGAGAGAGAGAGAAAGAGAGAGAGAGAGAGAGAGAGAGAATGACCAGATGGGGGTGTTTGCAGGGTCTGGCAATGCTTTATTTTTTACCATAGCTTTTATACCCTAAGTTAGTACATTTCTATGGGGAAGATAGTTTAATATTACGTCAGCTTGTCCTTCACAAAACCAGGGTGTTTTCTGCATACTTCTTTGTTTATGAGGGTCTTGTACATTATCTTCTGGCCTTGGGGCCTATTAACATTTTATGCAAGTCAGGTGAATGTAAACCTATTTTCCGTTTTTATGGTGACCTTAACTGAAAGGTAACAGTCTCATAGAGGAATAGTACAGAGTAGAATTATATCCTTGTTAATACAAAAATTAATCCTTCTGCAAAAGTTGTCAGTTGCGTTTATCTAAGAAGTTTACCCCATACAGACTCTGCGGCTTCAGTGAGGCAGCCTCTGCTTAGCACTCCTGGCTGACAATTAACAACCATCTCATTGTTACCACACTAGGGCTAAGTCCTTATTTCTCTAGATCTTAAACTATATTAACAATGGTTTCTATAACACTACCTTAGCACATTAAAAGCAGAACACAGCAAGCAAAACACAGCAAGCAAATCTCAACCCAAGAACCACCTATAGAATAATTTTTCTTATGTTTTCTAATAGGACTCCTTTACCCCTTAAAAAGGCTCTATGTCTATTAGGGCTTTTATATAATCAGGTTCTTTATGCTATTTTATGATTAGGATATTATAAGCAATCATGCATATTAGTACCAAGGGCATAAATGCATTTGGCTAACAAACTACCAGCAAAGGAGTTTAAATTAAAACACTCCTTTCAAAAAAATAAAAAAATAAAAAAATTAAAAAAAACACTCCTTTCACCCTGGATAGTCTCATAAAATACCACCACCTGGGAAACTTACTGATTAAAGTTCTAAATTGATTCTTATTTGGGAAGAGATCGGGAAAGGCCTTCCTGCCTGTGTCAGAGAAATTAGGGAGTAGTCCATTGAGGCAGGCATCAGAAAGACAGATGTCATCTTGAAGGTGAGCGCCAAGGAGCTTTTCGAAATCCCTGAAAACCTGATCTGCCTTGCCTGTCAGGCTTTCTCCTCGTGACCTTGTCATGGGTGGGATCTCGTGAGCTGGCCTTTTCGAAACCCCTGAAAACCTGATCCGCCTTGCCCGTCAGGTTTTCTCCCTTACGGCCTTGTTAGGAGTAGGGTTTTTTGAGCTGACTTTTTTGAAACCCCTGAAAACCTGATTCGCCTTGCCCGTCAGGTTTTCTCCCTTACGGCCTTTTTAGGGGTAGGGTCTCGTGTGTTGGCTCCTGGCATCTAGCCAAGGCCTCTTCCTTGGGCCCAGCAGGAAGGGGCTGCCCTCTGGGCCTCCCTTGGCTGGATTCTAGTTGTCCAGATACCTGCCTCCCAACACCCCTCTGGCCAGCACCCTCTCATCACTCTTTCCTGAGCAGCATATCTGCAGCCCCCCCTCGCAGTCTTGGTCCAGACTTGTTGGGCTATCTTCCTGCCTGGTGAACCCCTTTAGGGATCGGACGGGACACGGTAAAGGCCCTTCATGCCTCAGGAGCCAGAGTGGTGGCTGTGAGCCGCACCAATGCTGACCTGGTCAGCCTCTCCAAGGAGGTAAGGTGTGCAGGCCTAGCGTGACCCAGGGCTGTGACCCTTGGGGATGCCTCATAAGGCTGCCAGGACCACCCCTTGGGTCACCGGCCAATGCCTCTCCACAGTGCCCCGGGATGGAGCCTGTGTGCGTGGACCTGGGTGACTGGGAGGCCACGGAGAAGGCTCTGGGCGGTGTGGGCCCTGTGGACTTGCTGGTGAACAATGCCGCTGTGGCACTAATGAAGCCTTTCTTGGAGACCACCAAGGAGGCCTTTGACAGGTGAGGAGGAGGAAAGGAAGTTGACGGGAGCGGGCTGCCCAGGGCAGGGTTCGGGCGTGACCACGCTCTGACTGTGCTGTCTCCCCAGGTCCTTCCACGTGAACCTGCGCGCTGTGTTCCAGGTGTCCCAGGTGAGGCGTGGGGGGCCATGGCTCAGCACTGACATGGCCCAGGCGGGGGTGCGCTGGGCTCAGCCATCCCCTGTCTTGGCTTCCAGATCGTGGCCCGGGGCATGATCAGCCGTGGAGTGCCTGGCTCCATTGTCAATGTCTCCAGCATGGTGGCCCACGTCACCTTCCCCAACCTAGCTGTCTACAGTGAGTCCCTCTGCCCAGTCTTGAGCCCCTATTCTGGGCAGGAGCAGTTGGGCTCCCAGGCTGGGGTTCATGCAAAGCCTGCTGAAACCTTAAGGATCCTCAGTGCTGCCTTCTCACAGGCTCCACCAAGGGTGCAATGACCATACTGACCACATTCATGGCCATGGAGCTGGGACCATACAAGGTAGGCATGGGGGGCCTGGGGGTGCCAGGGACTCGTATTTCGCGGCTCGTATTTCGCGGACCAGGCTGTCCAGGTCGGCCGGGGTCCGGCTCACGGCCACCACTCGCGCGCCCGTCGAGTGTAGCGCCTTGATAGGGCCGTGCCCGATGCCTGCGAGGAGCACGGAGGAGTGAGGGTGCCCTTCCCTCGCCACCTTTGCCCGCCCCCGGCCACCTCCCCAGGCCCACCTTTACCCGGCCCCGTGACGAGAGCCCAGCGCCCCAGGAGCCTCAGATCCATGACGTTCGGATCGCTCTGGCACACTGCTGCGGCCACACTGCCGGCATTTGAGCTGCGCTCCAGGCTTGAGGACGGCGTGGGGCGGGGTGCGGCCGGCCAATCGCAGGGTGGTGTCCCGCCGCGGGCGGGGATATTCAAATAGTGGTCTCCCCGTGGGGGCAATTGGCCGAAAGGAGTGGGCGCGGCCGAGGGGAGGCACACAGGGTCCTCGCCAGACCCTGGGGTAGAGTTTATCAAACTGCCTTCTCATAAGGTTAGCGGGCCTCGCCAACATTTTTCCCTTCCAAGTAGGTTATTACAAAAAAATAAACAAGTAAAACCAGATATGGTAATTTTTACCGGAAAGAAGGTGAAAGAGAACGCAGTGCTAACCCCTTTTTTTTGTTTCTGAGAAGAAAAGTTTGGCTAAAAGGATCACATGCTCCCCTCCCCCAAACCTGGGAGCAGCTCACTTGTGCTTAGAGTGAAAGGGTTTGGACAAGCCTATAACCCCAAAGAAGAACTGATGCGAAGAACTGACTCCTGGGAAAAGACCCTGATGCTGGGAAAGATTGAAGGCAGGAGGAGAAGGGGACGACAGAGGATGAAATGGTTGGATGGCATCACCTATGATGGACATGAGCTTGAGCAAGCTCTGGGATTTGGTTCTGGACAGGGAATCCTTGGGTGCTGTAGTCCGTGGGGTCACAAAATGTCGGAAAAGACTGTGTGACTGAACTAAACTGATAAGCCTGAAGTAGAGGCCAAGGACCACGAAAGTGCACTTTAGCTGCAAGGGTGTTGAAACACTAACTCGCCCAACCCACCCACAGAAGGTCACTAGTAGTTCAAAAACTAGGAAAGGTTGGAATGGGCTAGGCTTGGGGTCATCAGGGTAGCAGTGGCCCCCAAGGGCAAGCATTGCTTCCTGGAGTTTTGGGTCAGTTAGAGATGTTCGTGTGCACATGTGTCCATGCATGTGTGCACTGGTTCCATCTCTTAAATCCACTTTGTTCTATGGATCATGGTGGGAAAGTCTCAAAACTGCCCTGAGGGCCTTCTTTGGCCAGGATTATGTAAGGAATTGGTGACTGCAGGGCCTCTGCAGGGCTTTGGGCCCAGAGGGGTGGATTGTCTGGGTGGATTGAGAAGGTGGCCTGGGGGGAGCAGGAGGCACAGATTTGAGAAGCCCCTGGAGGATCGCCAAGTGAGTTCTCCCTACCAGACCTGGTCATGTGCTACTGCCCATCCCCTCTGGGCTCCCACCTAACCCTGCCTTCTGCTCCTAACCTTGGACCTTGCCATCTGCCTGCCAGAAGCCAAGGGGCAAGGAGTGGGGGTGGGGGTGGGGACAGTCCCCAGCCTGTCCTTCCTGAGAGGCACATCAGCTTAGATCCCTTCACTGGCTTTTCCTGTCCCCCCCAGAATGGTGTCCAAATCCTTTCTTTGTCCCGTGATCCTCTGTGGGCCAGTTCAATTCAGTTGCTCAGTTGTGTCCAACTCTTTGCGATCCCATGGACTGCAGCACGCCAGGCTTTCCTGTCCATCAGCAACTCTCAGAATGGGCCAGTTGCACTGATCCAGATCAGTTTTGGCACAGACCTTGCTCTGGAAGCCCTGAAGCTGAGCAGAATTGCCCTTTACTCTCTCAACCCAGTGCTACCGTTGCCTGGATGGCCCCACCCCAGCCCCTTGTCTCTTTCCCCCTTTCACAGGGTTGTACACTGCACCAGGCCAGCTGACTGACCACCTCAGGCCCTCATCACACCCTCAGATGGCATGGGTAGGAAGCTGACCAGGGCAAGCACAACTGAATCCCAGCAGGGCCCGGGAGACCCTCTAGCTGCCCCAGCTGCAGAGCTCTTGTGTCTGGGGTCAGGCCAGGAACAGTAGGCACGGCAGCAGCTCTGGACACTTCCCTAGCTGGGGCTGCCCTCTTCATGGGTGGTCTTGTGGGGGAAGGTGTGCCCCAAGGTGAAACTGGGTTTCTCAGGCTTAGGTAAACTATAATGGTCCAGCACCACCCTCCTACCTCCTTCACTCCAGGACTGAGAGCTCAGGCCCATCTTCCCTAGGGATGGCCCAGAGCATCTCCCCACAGCTCCTCAGACCCTCTTCCTTCTCCATCCAAAGGTAGTCAGAGCAGGGGGTGCTGGGCTGAAGATCAGATCCAGAACCACAGGGAAGGAAAGTTGGGTGCAGGCTGCCCTCTGCACAGAGAAGGTTGGGTGTATCAGGGGCATGGACAACAAAGACAAGGAAAAACACAGCCCTTCAGATCAAAGTCAGTGGTCAGCTGTGGAATTCCTTTGGCTTTGGATCTGCCCCTTCTCTACCTCTTCAAAGATTAACCTGTGCTCAGTCCCTGATCCTCCCCTCCCTGCCCTTGGGGCAAGCTCATCCAGAGCCCTGGCAAGGCTACTAGTTTCAGGAGAATGGCTTCTATTTATTTAGGCAAATCCACCCTAGCACAGTGGACCACACAGTGGGTGGGAGCGTGAGGGACTGGGTCTCCTGGCACCCACACATTGGGTGTGGAGGAATGTGGTCTGGTTCGGGGGTGGGCGGGGTGGGGCAGGTATGAGGTTGCAGGCTGGTGGGGTGCTGCCAAGTTGTGTCGTGGAGGTGGGACCAAACCGTAGGCAGGGGCATGCAGGTCCTTATCTGGGCGTGGGTGTGGATGGCGTCGGGGGCGTGGTCTAGGGCGTGGAGAAGTGTTGCCTGGTGGTCCTGAAGGCCTGAGGGCGGGGTGGCGGGGCGTGGAGGAGTGGCGCTCTAGGAGGCCAGGTACCCGGCGTCCACCAGGATACTCGACCCGCTGGTGGAGGCACTGCGGTCGCTGAGCTGGAAGAGGATGCTGTTCACCACGTCTTCCACCTCTGCAGCGGGTAGGGGGCGGGGTCAGCGCGGCTCAGCCGGGCTGACTCTGCCCAGCAGCTCCAGCCGGCCCGCCACTCCGCGAAACCCCCCTGACCTGCAAAGTTCCTCAGCGGGTGGCGCTCCTTCAGCTTCTGGGAGAACTCAGGGTCAAACGAGACTTTTCGGCCCATGGCTGTCAGCACCACGGTTGGTTTCACGGAGTTCATCCGGATCTGGGGCCGGAGGGGTCAGAGGGGCGGCCTCAGACGGCGTACGAACCCCGCCCTCACGGCCCCCACTGAGCTTTCTCACTCACCCCTTGAAGCCCCCTACACCCGTTCTGATCGTATTTCGAGCCTGGGTCAGGCCTGAGCATTCCAGGTACTTGACAGAGCCTGGGGGCGGCCAGGAAAGAGGAGAGGGCAGGGCCTCACCTTGGCTTCGCCTGACGGGCCTGCACTCCCATACCTGCTCCACCAGCCCATCCCCTGACTGGACCACCTTCCTCCACATCCGCACCCAATGTGTGGGTGACAGAAAAACCGTTCCTGTCTGTACATCACCAACTCCCAGAGTTTACTCAAACTCCTATCCACTGAGTCGGTGATGCCATCCAGCCATCTCATCCTCTGTTATCCCTTTCTCCTCCCGCCTTCAATCTTTCCCAGCATCAGGGTCTTTTCAAATGAGTCAGTTTTTCCAATCAGGTGGACAAAGCACTGCAGTTTCAGCTTCAGCATCAATCCTTCCAATGAATATTCAAGACTGATTTCCTTTAGGATCAACCGGTTGCATCTTCTTGCAGTCCAAGGGACTCTCAAGAGTTTTCTCCAACACCACAGTTCAAAAGCATCAATTCTTCGGCATTCAGCTTTCTTTATACTACAACTCTTACATCTATATATGACTACTGGAAAGACCATAACTTTGACTAAATGGACCTTTGTCAGCAAAGTAATGTTTCTGCTTTTTAATATGCTTCCTAGTTTGGTCATAACTTTTCTATCAAGGTGCAAATGTCTTTTAATTTCATGGCTGCAGTCACCATCTGCAGTGATTTTGGAGCCCAGAACAATAAAGTCTGTCAAGGTTTCCATTGTTTCCCCATCTATTTGCCATGAAG